TATCCTGTAGAATACCGATAAGCTGGTAACTGTGCGGCGGTATTCAAGTGTCTGCAGCTTCGCCTCTACTAGTTCCGAGTCACCTATAAGACTCTTAGTACGCTTATCTATTGAATCCAAGGTGGCCAGTTGGTTTTTAGCAGAGCCACCCCATAAGTTTCCACTCCTTTCAGGATGTAGGAGTTTATAATTCACTAAGCTGACATAAGACTGCAATATTGATTTTGTTGTTTTAATTTAATTTATCGATTAATAATAAATTTAATTTAATAACAATTCTTATTCTAAAATAAGATATTTTATAAAATGTAGCGTATTTTTAAAAAGGAGGAGGTTCTCAATTCGACTGTATGTTTTTTTTTGTATGTATGTTACGCGATAACTCCGGTATTTGTGAACCGATTTTCATGATTTTTTTTTGTTGGAAAGAGGGTACCTCCATAGTGGCTGTTCACGCATGAAGATTCATTTCTATAAATAGCGCCTGAGTTTTATTATAAGGAGCAATTATTTTCCAATTCAAGGCGTTTTTCTCTCTCAATATACTTTGAGTAGTGAGAACCGTTTTATTATCTCCTGTGTCAAGTCACGTATGGTGGCGAACTAGGGCATGAATCCGGGTTTGCGCACTTTCCGGTAACCGATTTCAAAACTTGGTAACTATATGTACTTCCACATACTCTTGAGGTCGGTGTCTTTAGTACTCTGTACTGAGGTTATAATGAAAAGTAGAGAGGTTTGTATTAATAATATACACAACTAGTTGATGACCTCTACTATCTCAATCAGACGTGGCAATGTGACAAGTAAAGAGGCTGAAACGTCGGTTTGTTTGAAAACACACTCTTTCAGTTCCAGAGTAATTGCAGCTATCAACGTCGGGGCGTCCGCGTCCCTCGCGCGCGCTCGATTATTGACGTCAACATTATGCGGTGACATTGAGACGTTACGTTAAGAATATCGAGCTATCCAGCAACTGTCTCGGCGACCGTCTCGGTGACACTTGTCCGGAATATTGACAGGGAAAAGACTACAGTAACAAACGCCATTATCTTTTTACATACACGAGTAAGCCGTTTATTCAGCGCCAGAATGTATTAACAAATACTTTACAAACAAACAAACATGCCATGTGGTATAATTTAAAAGCTAATAAAACTGTAACAACTGATACGAATTCGTGAATATTCGCAAAGATGGACGTTGCCTCCGGTTTGGTGTATAAAATGTGGGGACTTTTGTTCTGTTAGTGCCGTTTAGTGAGCAATCGTAGCCCGTGACACTTTAGCGAGTCATACGTAAATACTCAAAACGTTCACAAAACAATATTCCACTTAATCCATGTACATGAATCCTATAATGTTAAGTATGTGATTGGTTCAAGCAAAGGGCTGGTAGGGGTGCGAGCGAAATCGGGCGATTACCGGATAATGGTGTAATATCTGTAACAACGCGCGGCCATTAATGAATCATTGCTGCGTAGAGCGGAGTGAGCACCGCGCGCACGCGCCGATGGCGATGTGCGGATATTGGTCATTACTGTAAGACCATATTAATAGGTTCATAAATAAGGCATTTAACAACAGAGACTTAGGCGACACCGATTAAACGTTGTCCCTGATACTTTATGGGGTCACTCCGTTCATGTATTTATTATCATTAGTAATTTTTGATGCTATAAATATCTAAGTTGCAGAGTCAAACAAAATAATAATGTTAGAATAAAAGTAAAGTTTAACAGTCAATGTTCGAACTCTTATATTTTTTCTCATCTCACCAAACACGTCCACCGTTCATGAACTCGTAAAATTAATCATCTAAACCTACGCAGGTCGCACATTCATTCTAATATGTATCCACATTTACAAGCACTTCGCATATCACTTGCACTTTCGCACACATCACACGCACTTCCACACACACCACATGCACTCAATCATCACACACACTCTCACACACTTACAATTTAATTTTTATTCTTATATTTATATATATATATTTCTTTTTTCTTTTTTTTTGTTATGACTCTTTTTTCCGATTAAGTATACATGTAACTTGTTAATATAGATTTATAAATATTGATCAGAATTTCTGGAGGTGGAGGCCTGGTGACCTAAAATACAGGGTATCCTAGTTTAGGCTCCAGCCTCTACAAATTTTCCTGTCATGTCTTTTACTTTAATATCTCTTATGTTTACTTAAGTTGTTACAAATTTGTGGAGGAAATACAGAATTTACTTACTTACTTACTTTACTTACTTATGTAAATCAACATAAATCAAAATAGTATGCCTTTTGGCAACACAATAGTTCATAATATTATGATTTAATTTGGATATCATATTTCATTTAATTATTTATTAGTGAATATTCAATTGAATTCGCAAAACCATAAACTCAAAATTTTCCCGCCTATTCTTAAAATGTGCACTAAAATTTTGTTTTTGAACACATTTTTTGTTATTAAAGTTAGCTAATGGCAGAAACCATAAGGGCTTTTAATCCAACACAATCATTACAATACCCCTTTTAAGTATTACAAACGCCCCCACTGTTATATTCTCTTAGACTCGGTCCCTCAAGAACCTCTTTCTTCGTAAGTCCGTAAAATATTTTATAAACGACAAAAACGTGAAGTGCTTGCTTGTCTTGTCCGTTTGGCACAAAGAAAGAAAGGTGAAAATGGCCGCGTGATGGATGCCACCCTAAGTAAAAAAGTGACTTATTGTTAATGAAAGTCTCTTTTATCTCGCATCTCTTATGCGATTTTTGTCTTCGTGTACGGTTTTATAAAGTATAAGCGCTGACAAAGCTTGTAATTGACCCTGAGGAAGTGGCTCTCGCAACAGGTTTTATGTAAAATTTCCCCAAGATGGCGAGCATCAACCATCACGTCATCCATTACAAATATTATATTCATTGAATCAACTGTAAGTTTTCTAGTTAATTATTTATTACCTAGCTCGAATTATCATGAACTCAGACAATGGGGCAAAAGGAAAGGATATTCGGCAAAGTGCATCTCCGGGACCGTCACTTGTTCAACATTTAATTGGTTCTAGCCACGTGAAATTTTGTGTATTAGATATGAAGAAATATGAATGTATGAGCTCGTCCATTAAGGCCCGCGAACTGACGGCTTGACTCGGAACACTTCATTTTTGCTATTATGCCAAGTGACGGGACAAACAAGCCGTGCGCCTGGAGGTAAGTGACATGTCTGTCCACTTTTCGATCGCCATTTTTTTCTAACAGAATAAACCTGGTAACGATACGCTCACTTACCTATTGTAGTGCTTGCTACTTTTGAAACTTGTCAAATAAGTCAAATGTAATTGCAATAAGTCGCAAATTATGTTTACATTATATTCTTCTCTTTCCACGGCGGTGACAAAACAGGGTGGGGGGCACAGGGCGTTCATTAATATCGGTGAACAAACAATCCATAGGGTATTTGTGAGTGTGTTTGAATATTCCACATTATTTATGGATCAATCTTGTGCACTTTTTTGGATCAACAAGACAGCGTTTAACGAATATGTGGGAAAGTACTTATTTGTTTGTGTTTTAAACTCATATTATAACCGACTTTTATAAAATGATTTTTCAATTCAATCGTCAAATTTCACCTTACGTTAAATTTTCTTTAAATTTAACTTACTTACCGTTACGAGAAGTTTTGATTACACATATTATTATATCATGAATTATTGTTATTTTTGTTATTGATCTTTACTGTTCGGTGTTATTCGTGATTGTTAAACAACTAATATCGTATACCATTAATAGCCTACGTCCATTTGCACAATATCTGCATACCTATCAAACTCGAGAACCATTATCAAATACAAATTTTACAACCCCAATAATATTTGCATTATTCGGTTGGTTTGTAATAATTATACACTTGTCTTACCGTAATGGAAGTAATCTCCAGGTACGAGATGCAATTCAGCTGTTGCAACGCTGAATTGATCAGCACTCCTTTGTGCGCAGCCGCTGGGTGATGGCGATGTTACATCGGTGCTGCCCTTCGAAACGCTCCAATCTAATGGCCTTAATTAATCTGACGCTTCCTCAAACTCAGCAAATCGTGTACAAAGTGCTGCTACGGCAATTGCTACTCTGCAGTGCTATTACGGGTAATTAAGACGTGTTAGGTAAATTGTTGTGGAACACAACAAAGGTAAAATGCTGCATACAGCTTCATACTATATGTATCTAGGTAATTTGGACAAAAAGATTCCTGTTTTTATAACTTTGTGTCATAAAGAATTCCTGGTAACTTTTGTCTTTACCGTTAATTCCAATGCTTAGAGACAATAAATGCCTGTGTTTGTTTCAGTAGGCAGAAGAATCTTGTATTCATAACCAAAGTAATGGTCGGTTATCGCAGGCCACTGAACCGCAGCTCATACATATCAAAACGCTTTACTAGAGCTACGTCGAATGCCTCGAACGTACATCAGCACGTACCCGTCTTGTGCTTCCATAATATTGAATGAACGGAAATGTGTTCACTTTACCAACTCGCAGTATCAGAATAACAACATCAAATCTGTAAAATTCCATAATTTATTAATTAAGTAACAAATCGTGTCCAAAGCAACAGAGCTAAGTCTACATGACGTCACATGAAGACATCGTCGCCGAGCGGTTTGCCCGCCGGCCGGTCGTCCTCGAACGTCACCATCTTGTCCCTTCCCCTACCCGCAGTTGGCGCTTTATCCGTGCTTTTCTTGTCGTTGAGTGACAATCCATACAACTCTCGTCCCATGCCACTCAAGTTAAATTCACTCAAACTCCGAGGCACGAAGTATTCTACGCATTTCTCAGCATGTCCGGCAGATCTTCTCACAGGCGTGTTCCTTTGGAAACTTTCTTCACCACCAGTTGCAGATTTTCTTCTAGGCAGGCTGTTGAATTTAGTCGGGTTGAGCGAGTCTATCTTGAAGGTGACTTGCTGTCTTTTTTCTTGACAGAAGGCGACGGACGGGCCCGGCTCCGCCGCCTCTCGGTGTCAGGATACCACTGACATCGCAATCTTTTCGTCGCACTTCTCCGCACTGTGTACTGCGCGTGATTTCCCGCCCCCTGCACACAAGGCGGTCACGCTTCGCAGAGCAGAACCCATGTCCTCCTGTATTAAATTGAAACACATAGCTATAACTACTATCCCAACTAGAATGTAAATACAACACACACCCACTGCAATGTCCTCCGCCTTCGCGGACACAGTGCTCGCGTACGTCCCTGGTTTCAAATTACCGAAGCCGATTGTCGCGAGACTCGAGAACGAGAAGTAACACCCGTCCACGAAATTCCACTTCTCCGTGGTCCGGAACACAAACGTGCCAAGTGCGATGTATGCAGCAATCAACAGTAAGCTAAGTATAATTGGTACCCTCGTATGATCACGACATGTCCAATGATAACCAGTACCGCTAAAACTGTCTAGATTCAGAGCGGCTTGGAACGGCGTCCGTTTTTGCCGTTCCAATTTGCTTTTGTCACAGTCGGGGTACGGTTTGCAGTCCTGAGGCAACGCGACTCTGCTGAGGCAGTCTGCTTTTGTGTGAAAGTTGGGGCTAAGTCTGGCGGGGCAGAGACGGGAGTACAGCGCGCGGAAGTGGCGCGCTAGAGCGTCTCCCAGCGTCGACAGGTACAGCATGATGATGGGGATGCCCACGCATGCGTACGCCACTGCTACCATCTTGCCCACAGACGACTTTGGCGTTACGTTGCCGTGACCTGGAAATTAAACATCTCATACAGAAAGGCTCTTCACCCGGTGACAGCTGCAGGAAAGTATTGAATGCAGGTGGTTCAGTATTTTTGTATATTATTTGGTTGTATTCTGTATTTTACTTGTAGTTTCAACTGTTACTTAAGTTGTAAATTAAAGCTGGTGAAATAAGTAAGACTCGTTTTTAATTTCCTAGTACACAATTTTAAGTTCCATTTATTTCAGACACATAACAAATATGGGCGAGTTGAGACACAATGAACAGACCACAAAAGGAACGAAACTAAATTTGAGTATATTTTTTGTTGGCGTTTTCCTTCTTCTTGGTTGTTTATTCAGCAAATAAGATTCAGCGTGGCTCTCCGGGGAGCCAGTGAGTGTAAACAGCGCTAAGTGTTTCGGAGCCAGCTCAAGGGAGTACGCAGGATCAGCGGTATTGTAGACCGCAAACAAACACTGTGTATTCTGTTTTCGTTTTAAAGATCAACAATTCGAGACCATTGCGCGTGGCTGTGTGAACCGCAGCAGTCGCTCGAAATCTTTTTGCCCGACTGCGCCGGAAAAAAGGTAACATTAGTTAGTCATCCTTCGTTACGCTATACTTTGGAGTGTCAAAGGATTCATTGAATACAAAAAAATAACAAATTTTGTTAAATATAATTCAGTAAAGTCTTAAAATCTATTATTTATTATATATTATATTATATTATATTATTTTATATTATTATGGCTATTAACTTGAAGACCTTTTTGAAATTAATCTTAAAAAAGCAGCTTACGATATGCGCATACAATGATTTGCAGTTATTGAAAGTTCAAAATTTATTCTAGTACCGTTTTTATAGCCTGCGCGTCGCAAAGAAACAAATGATTTAATTTTATTTGAATTTCAATAGGAAAACAAATTTGATCGATTGGATAAGTGTTCTAATGAGTTATGAACATATCGCCGCGTCGTAGACATGTGTGATTAGGTCCTACATTTGAACTTGAACTGGTAAGCGCGCGCATGAGTTTTTTTTTCTTTAGCTGCACACTAATACTGCAAAATACGAGAAAGGTTTTCTTATTCGCTGATTGAATATAAATTTGTCTTCCGAAAATGCCTCTGTAACTCATGGTTGGTAGTTATTTCAGCATTTTTGTCCTTATCACTGACGTAGCTAAGCAGTTAATAATAACAAACCAAATATGCTAACTAAACATAATTTCATTTTTGAAAGGTATTGCAGACGAGATTACTAAATGACAGTTTTGCTTCAAATGAAGTTGTTAAAATAATTTTCAACATTAATTAAATTTTTATTGAATTGATATTCAATTATTTTTTGTGAAATTACTCCAACAGTTTGTTATAATTATTAATACAAAGATCGAACACTCAGAAAAAACACTCAGAAAAAAAAATTTAATTAATACAGTGAATAGCGACATCTCTCGCCAGGACTGGTAGCTGTAAAGGTACTAACTGGGTGATAAATCTGTCAAAGATTTCTCATAGATGGCGCTACGACTAAAAAGTCGTTGAAAAACCAAGTACAAAGACACGACGTAAGCACATAGAGAAATTCGTGGGGTCCGTTGGTTCGTTCCGTGGCTTAGTTGGTATAGCGTCTGGCACGGTATGCAAGAAGACGTCGGTTCGAATCCGACCGGATCGAAGGAATTTTTTCTGAGTGTTTTTTCTGAGTGTTCGATCTTTGTATTAATAATTATAATAATTTTCAACATTTTCTTTTGGAAATCAATATTCAAAATGTGCTGTGCGTCTTTTAACTTTTAATGTGGTTCTGTTTTTTGTTTCTCGTTATGGTGCTCTTTCTACTCTCATACAAAACTAACATTGTCTTGTTATTAAACTTTATCGGCACATTGTGTCTGGTCTTGTTCACTAAACTACCAAACTACTAGTAGTTCTTTTTTCAACAAAAACACACAAATACGGATGATTTTACCGCGATAACAAATTTCATATTGGTGGTTTTAGATTGCTACTGTTGTGCGTCTGACATATTGGTCGAGTTGTGGCTAAACATGTAAGTACATGCCCATGTACAGAAAAGGTCTCAATCTCGGGATCGATTTGCATTATTTGGCCTCTGTTCGATGACATTTTATTATTTATAAGTCTTTCTTATTTCTTTATAATTATTATAAATTTACTGACATGACAATATGACGGTTCTAAGCTGACTAGTAACACTCTGACGTAAACTAATATATGTTTCCAAAATTGATTGTACCTGGCATTGAAACCGGTACCTTTCACGATAAGCTCAAACTACAAAGCCATCGAAATTGTCAATAACTCTATGATCAGGGAAGGTACGTATATCTTAATAATTTCATAAGCAATATTTATTCGCACTTTGGCTAACGACCAGTTTCGCAAGTAACTTACCAATTGTAGTAATCAGCGTCAAAGCGTAAAGGAAGCTGCTCGAAAATGTCCACCTGTAGTCTCCATTGCTTTCAAACGTCAGTCTATTATCCAACACAACGCCTCCTCCTTTTATCGTCTTTATTAAAACCTTCTGGAAGTCCATCAGCTCCTTCGCGGCCAGCTTCGTCCAGTTCTCCTTGTACAAAATATTTAGATCTTCAGTAATAGACCAGAGTTTTTCGACTGTTTTCAAACGCAAGTCGTTGCTGCTACCTGATTGACTGAGGTTCGGTTTTGAAGCGGCAACTGCGGTTTCTTCTGTAACTGAGCCTTCGAGAGCGAGAAAAAGAAAGCCGCCTAGGAGGTTATAGGTGAGAACGAGAAAACAGATGGCGAGACATGTTAAGGGGGAGGCACGGCGCTTATGCGCGCAGCGGCAGCAGAACATTCTGGAATCGTTTGGCTTGAAGCAGCATTGCGAGTCCTCGAGTATCCCCAACTCCCCGTAGCGCTTCGCCAGCTCCCTGCTCCCGTCCTCTAACATAGTGGCTCACTATGAACGACTGCGCATCGCACCTTGTACTTCCTATGATGTCTTCTCTTTCTTACTCTTGGCATTCTAACTTAAATTTGATGTATTCTGCGGTGTTGTGGGCTTGCTCCTATAACAATAGAAAAACATCTTTAATTTTTAACAGTGGTCTCGTTACTGGACTTACAAATTGTTGATGACGTCCTATCCTAGAAACTTTTTTGAGAGTTTTATACAATAATGTAATTTTTACAAAAACACCAGATGGTGTGGAAAATTAATTTACTTCTATAAAACGCTGAAGGATTAAAAACAGTAAATATGTATAGTTTAGCAAATATTTTTTACATATCTTTTGGTTAATGACGAGATCGATTAAGTTTATTGTCGAAAGCAATATTCGGCAGCACAGACCATATAAATCGGTAGGTTTACCACAGGTTTATTGCTGTCACCGACACGTTAGCTTTTTTTGTGGCACAAACATTCCTTGTTTGGCTTCCGTAGTCAAACTAGAAGCATTGCAGTTGTCACGTCACGTCACGTCTGTGTGTCGCGCTTTTACGCGTTTGTTAATGTACGTGCTGCTACGACATTTGAAATGTAATCAAGGTGTAGGTATCGATGAAAAAGAACGAACTGAGAAATTTAAATTTATGGATTGTGTTTCGTTGTTTTCTGGCCAATATTAACATTTGTGGTACACGTGTCTAGTATGGTTTATTTAAGTTTTAATTTAAGTTTGAATTAGTTACGCGAGCCAAATTCTTGCTAGTAATAAATTATTTAAAAAAAATTAAAACCTGATGAAGTCTTTTGACAAAAATGCTTAAGTAGGTATATATATCTATATAAATCTATAAATACATAAATAAATATTAGACAACGTGACATACGTTGCTCTCACCTCAAAGTAAGTAGCTAAAGCACTAGTGTTATGGAAATCGGAAACGACGACGATACCACAAACACTCAGATCCCAGACAATATAGAAAAGTTAATTGTCTCCAGTGACCCGGGCGGGGATCGAAACCGGGACCTCAGAGATGGCGACACCATGAATACCGATATGCAAGCCACTCGACCGCGAAGGCCGTCAAATATGTATATATTCATGTAAACTTTTAATGCCGTACGGCCGCGTATATTTATGCACGTGTAATGTAGAGAAATCACAATAAATTAAATCTCCGAAAACGATTTTTGCATTTTTATAATATTATTAACATTTTTAGTTACGTATTATGCTTTGCCATTCATTGCTGTCGATTGTACCAGTGTTTCGTTATTATGTGAGATGGCTGACTACGACTTTTTAAAGCATTTTGTGCTTTATATTTTTCGTTTATTCGGTTACACAACTCAATAACCTCCATCAGCGAGGTCAACAGTCAATTCCAGCGCATCGCTCGGAACTAAACCGCAAACGAAGGCAATATACATAAATATTCATTCGCCCAATAAATGGAACGCGATCCGAGCCAATCAAAAATGATACAAAACTTTTCATAGAAAGATGTCGCTTTCGAAACACTGTGATATTGGTGTGTAAATTGATTTAAATCCTACGAGTGGATACCAGATATGTACAAATGCATAATATAGCCACAAAAAGTTGAACTTGGTTTTTAATCGGCGATTAGAAATGGGTTTTTGGGCCCAAATCATGTATCAAAACAACATACTACAAATTACTATTATTCCGTACTAAGGAACGAGTGATGCCCGAAATTATTATGTATTCAGCGTCTCCACGAGTGTCATTGCCGCTCCTCCATCACGCATGCAGAGAGCGATGCGATACACGATGACGTTCTGAAAGACAATATTATAGAGCTATAAAGTAACCTGGTTCTGGTAAAACTCAATAAACCTTTGAAAACTTTTTCATATCATTGTAACCACAAAATGTCAGCGTAAATATTTGTAGTGTTTTATTTACTCGTCCGAGAGTTGGCGACAAACGTCGACAAACAAAAATGTGTGCGAAATAAACAACACGGGCGGATGAGAGCGAATTGATATTCCAATACGGCTCGCAGCTGTGCACAAACCCTTCCCGAGCCACCATGTACCATGTGTCGGATATTGTTACCTTTAACAATATCTAACATATTGTTAAAGGTATTGATGCAACTAGTACAAATTTATTATGAATAAACAAAAACTGTTGGTTTGGAATACAAATATATGAGATTTAGATAAAAATAATTAAATTTACAACATAAAACAATCGTGCAAACCTTAAAATTTGTAGGAAACGAAACAAATATTAGATAATTTGTAGTCGGGATTTGTCTGCTGATGGCGAAGACCAATTTAATATATAATTAAGCTTTAAAAAATTCTTAATTACTTTGTACTTAAATAACTTTTCACTCTTCTGTTATTTTTATTTTAGTGTACAAAAAAAATGTAATGACCGGTTCCGTGACCGTAACTTTCTAATAAATATAACAAAGTTTATTTTTGAACTCGACAGGGATTAATATAATTAGGGCCGCGCGTGACGTTGACCCTCCCGCGGCCGAGACCGCTTGGGAAAGTGGCAGTCGAGCAGTCGTAGAAGTGCGGGAGTGCGAATGGAAAAGATTGTCATCGGGGACGCCTGGCTCACTCGTTCCACGTGAATCGAGAAGCGCGAATGCCGAATTGGAACAGGCTACGTTTAAGGTTACTCGATGCTATACCTTACCAATCGGTTTCGTGTTGAATAGTCTCGTCGTTGATGGCGTTTGGACAATGGCGCAAAACAATACGTTTGCTGGTTTCAACGCATCCCCGTGGAATACGCCTACGTAACGAAACATAAAGAATAATAAAGAACAATTTATTTGTTTATTATTAATTCAGGTTTGCAGTTTACTTTTTGTCGAATCAATAATGTAGCGATCGCAATTTCTACGAATGTGACCGAAGAAATAATCCAAAACAAGATTAATTTTCTTTTAATTAGTGTAAATTCACCTTAAGTGAAAATCCGAAGAACAAGAACGGGTTCATAAATGTGGCTTACAGTATTTAACGCAGACTTGCACGTACACAGTTTTCGGAGTTGTATAGATTATCAAAAGTGAAATCATTGTTGTTTGTTTGTTATTCGCGGGTCGCGCGCCTGCTTGCTGTTTGTTTGTAGAAACATACGTGTGTTTACGTTAAAATATATGTTTTGTTTTAATACAATTTTGGTTTATTTATGTACATAAGAGTTATGAGAAGTTTGTCTATATGTCTGTAAAGATTTAATAGTTTTTGGCAGAAACGGTCAAAAGTGAAAAGTACACTATCCTATATATAGGATCCAGGCGGGGTTTCTCTCACCCTACAGCCACACGATATTATTTATGCTTTTAAGAAAACGTCCTTTTACGAATTAAATTCAAATGCATACGATTTACGGGTTTTTTGTACCGATTTATTTCAATGCGATTTTCAAGCGAAAATATTCTATTATTGCGATTCAAAGAAAAGCAAATCGAATCGTTCAAATAAAAAATCAATAACCATCGTGTAATAATATTTTCATTAAATTTGAACAAAACTCGATTCACTACAAACATTTTAGCTGTGAGTACTGGATTTCGGGCATTAATGGGTTTTACCCGGCATTGAGTCACGGCATCCTTGACTTGATTCCACCAACGGGATAATCAAAGCAAACCACACCGCACCGCGCGGTGCATCGTCGCAGGCGACCGGCGCGACGACGCTGTTGTAATGTTGTAGTGTTATATTGAAGTTCAAAGGTACTTTATTGTCATAATCATTACATACATAACTTTTTGTCTCAGCAGTGAGCAGTCGAAAATAACTTGTTACAATTGAAATATGGATTTCAACATGGATTTGATTAAGCCGAATATGGCTCCACCTCCTTCATGTTTGACAGTTAGTTAGAAATTTGCACTCCCTTAAAACCTGTTTATTACTTGTTAGGCTCTGCTGCTAACATTATACTCGTATGATTGTCATTTCCTAATGAATATACTCGTTAATTCAATGTGGATATTCCTCTGTTATACTTTATCATATTTTATTTATTATTATTATATATTTGTTATTATTTGCCCGAGGAATTAAAAGTTTAGATTCGATGGCGATATTTCGTAATTTCATAAATATATATATTGTGATTCACTATAAAAAGATGTTCAATAGATATTAAATTATTTATCCCCTCCAGACGGGCTAGTGTATATCCATTGACTATAACAATCGCAAATGGTTATGTGCGGCTATGAATAATGCTTATAAACTAATGCACGGGATAAATTATCTGGAATGGGCACTTCAAAGATGACGTCAGTTTCAATATTAGTATACATTACTACTGATTATAAAGAGTACTTTTGCATGCATTAAGCATGTTTTTATCACACATATGGCCGGCGCCAAAACATCTAGGGATGTATGACTGAAGCCTAAGCAAGGACGAGTGAGGGAGGATAGGTCTCGCACGAGTAAACAGAGCCGAGGTGGTACGGGTTATTATACAAACACTGAACAAATACCGCATCTGAGTATAGATGGACTAACGGGACGGATAGATGTTGGAGATAGGTACAGGTACAGAAAAGGTAGAGTTGAGTAATAAATTTTGGAATATGACAATGCGCAACGTTCCACTTGCTCACGAAAATAAGTCAATGAAAGAATTGGAGTTTGTTTATCAAAATAATATCGCATAAAACAACGCACACACTCATAGCCCCGCACTAGCGAAACCCTATCACCCGGGACCCGGGATCTCTGCGTGGCAGACCAGCACAGTAACAGTTTCGCCGCGATGATAGTTAAATAATTTAATTTATTTGCAAATAAATTGAACTTCACGAACGAAATTACGAATGAATTGTTTATTAACATCTAAATGCATATTTTAAATTCACAAACTCTAGGTTTAGTTGAAAAATAATTAAAGAAAATTAAAGAATCGATTAAGAATTCACAAATTGAATTTAAACAGCGGTTGATTAAAAGGAAACTAATTGCAATTCGGGAACGTTCATTAAAATTAAAGGCTTTAGGAATTTTGGGAAATTTCGAAACAAATTGGAATTGTGAACAGCAACAACAGAAGGGCACAAGTGGTCATTAATGTCGGATCGACCGAGACGGATC